TCCTAAACTCCTAAACCCAAAACCCCTAAGCCCTAAACCCCTAAACCCCTAAACCCTTAAACCCCTAAACCCTAAACTCTTAACCCCTAAACCCCTAAACCCCTAAACCCCTAAACCCCCAAACACTAAACCCTAAACCCCTAAACCCTAAACCCCTAAACCCCTAAACCCTGAAATCCCTAGGACCCTCCCTTCCCTTCGCCGAGGCTCCAAAACCCTTAATTAAGGAATTTACCTTAAATCTTATTAGAGTTCCCATTATAATTTAAGGTATATTCCCCTAAACCCTAAACCCTAAACCCTAAACCCTAGACCTTAATTAAGGGGGTCTTGGACCCTCTGGGTTCGCCGAGGCTCATGTCTGCAGCCTCGAGGAGTCGAAGATCCGCCGGCACCACGTCGCCGGTCTCCAAGAGCACCACGTCGCCCTTCACGACGTCCACCTCTGTTGGGGCGTAGGGTTTAGAGCTTACAGTAGAAGCCAAAAAGTTGGAAACCCAGTAGCCTCAATCCTTAAGAGTAATGTATAGGGAATCTCAGCACTATTTGTCCTTAATCCGGTTTCCAACTTTTTGGGGTCTACTGTAGGGCTTGGGGATTTAGGGATTTAGGGTTTTGGGCTTCGGGTTTAGGGTTTAGGGATCTGCAGAGGAGGGCGATTTAGAAGGGTTCCTGCGAAGGGTGATGCAAAGGTTTCATAAGAAGTTCTACACCAAATTTGTTGGTTGAGGATTTATGGGTCAGGGTGGAGGGCTCACACGCCTTCTCGAAGGGGCTCTGCGAGGGCGCGGACAAGGGCTCTATAGCCCAGGTTCTATTGGGTTCTACGTGGGTTTCATCGGTATCAACCCTTTGGGCTTGGAGATGATTTCCAAGGGCTCGGGTGAAGATTTTGAACAAACTGAGCTTGTAGTTTGTACTCTCATCAAGCCATCAAAGCCTATGACGATGCCGTATACTGCAAGCCCTAAAGAAATCGGACAGGACAGGTTTCTGGTTTCTGGATTCTTGTTAAGGAGATTAGTTTAAGCTACCATAAACAGGCATCTACAGTCGATGTAGTCAATGATATGGTCACTTAACTTCAACTCCTAAACCCTAAACCCTAAACCCTACACCCTAAACCTTCAAAAGAGCCCCGGGTTGAGAGTTCGGCGGGGCTCCGTGCTCCGGCGCCTTACGGCTTCGACAAGGCCCGGCCGAGGCCCGGGCTGTGGGAATGCTCATGACCTTGGCTAGGCGACAATTCGTCGGGGCCTCGGCCTATGCCTAGGCTGAAAGTTTCTTGATATGTATACATATATATATATATGTGTGTGTGTGTATGTATATGTATGTATGTATGTATGTATGCATGCATGCATGCATGCATGTATGTATGTATGTATGGTTAGGGGATAATTTGCATGGATTAAGGATTTCGGGTCCCAGGTTTAGGGTTCGGGGTTAGGGTTTAGCGTTTCGGGTTTAGGCTACTGGGGAGGCACATGAGCCACGGCACATAAACGAAAGCAAGATTTGTCCAACAGCACGATCTACAACTGCCATGTTGGACACTACGACCTGCGCGCTCTTTTACGTCCATAGAACTCTTGGCATGCCCACCTCGCCATCTCGGAGCACGGACACCTCTGGCTGCGACAGCTTCGCCAAGGCGTCCAGGGCATTGCCAGCTTGGTGCTCCTGCCAACGCTTTCTACGAATAGTACAAGAGCCTTAAATCATTAGAACAGGGTTTGCGGTATGCTATAGTATGACTAGAATACGGACCGCCTAGGGAAATGTTGGTGATCATTCAGGTGTCTATGGTTACTTCCAGCTGTGGCTCCTAATACTACCGCTTGTCGGATGCTTCGGGCTACTAGTGCTCGAACAAGCACAGGGCGGGTGGGCCTTGAGCGATTTGGGATTGCAGGCTCTGGCGACAGCTATCGTGGAACCATCTTCGCCGGTTGCTTTGTAAGGCCCGTAGTGCGATGCAAGAGCATTCAAGAATCGCGCATCACATGTATCCTTTCCGATTAGCCGTAGTCAGCAAAACTTCACATTGTCGCCTTTTCTGTCATTTTCTTGTGCAACCCTGGTGCGGCTCAGTGACTTTAGTGTAGGGCCCAGTGCAAAAAGGATTCAGGGTAGTTCAGGCTTTCGGCGCTCGTATGGCGCTCCGTGTAAGCCGCGATGCCAGCATTCCTCAGATGCAACAACTTAAAGCCATCCATCAGGAAAAGAAACACCCTCGGCCCTAAACCCCAAACCCCGAAACCCTGTGCGTAAGATCGCTTGAAACGCACTTCTCATCCTGACCGAAGCTGGATCCTAGCTGCCGGCGAGGCTCAAAAGGACCAAGATGAAGATTGCCATCCCGGTGGTGTAGGACAGGATTTCATCTCCTGAGAGGTCATCGAAACTCCGTAGCTTAGGGTTTGGGGCTTGCGGTTTTTTAGGAGTTTAGGAGTTTGCCTAGGGCTTTTCTTCCCCAGGATTCCCGGCTGAGGGCTTTCGTTCTTTTGAGTTTGATTGAAGTTCCTTATAGAACCCATATGGAAACCTTTATAGATCCTCTTAAGGAACCCTATAGTTTAAGGTACATTCCTTAAGGGTTTCGATGCTGACGGCATCTTGAGGTAGGGTGTTTTTTAGCCTGCGGGGAGGGGGGCTTCACAGGCCAAAAAGGGCTAAGGAATGGTGCAGTCTTGAACAGCCTGGGGTGAAGCCCTCAAGGGAGCAGACACATTCCTCAAAATCATGACCCCCAGCGCATCCGAAGGTCAGAAGCCTTGGACCCAAAGCCCCACACCAGAGGAACCTGGAAGGAACCCATACCGATACCTGAAACATTGAAGGAACCCTGAAGGGAACCCTTAAAGGAACCCTTAAAGCCTTAAAGGAACCCTTAAAGGAACCCCCTCCTGGGAACACCCCTCGGAACAATCAAGCCCCCGAATCCTGCTCGGGCGCCAAACCTTGTGGATTAAGAAAGATCCAAGCGAAGGGGACACCAAGAGCAGCAGGGTCTAGGGATTTAGGGTTTTGGGTTTAGGGCTTAGCGATTTAGGGTTTGGGGTTTAGGGTTTAGGGTTTATAGGGTTTGGGGTCTAGGGTTTAGGGATTTAGGGTTTGGGGGGTCTTATTCACATGAGACTTGCAGCAAGCATCCGCAGCCTGAACCCTGCTTCCCCCCCGTGGTGACTGGGGCCGGGACGCTTGCCCTCGTTGGTGGCATTGACGACGATGGAAGCGATGGCGGCGATGATGAGCAAGATGATAATGAAGCCTTCGGGAGAAGAGCTTTGAGGGGCCTTCAAGGTCAGGGTGTAAATCTTATGGCTTTAAAAGGTGTGATAGGAAAGAGCGACGACGAGGAAGTCTGTTTTTCGGACGGCATATGCAGTAGACTCACCAGGCTTGCTCATGGTAGAATGTCACATGTTGCCATCCAAAGGCACCACGCAAAATTAGACAGAGCTTGAGGTTCGGATCTTAGGATTCTAAACAGCGAGTAACCCCGAAGCTGACAGTAGGAGGCCAAACTGGAAACCGTCGCCCCCAAAACTCCGACTCCCACATTCCAGACCCCCCCCAACACCACATCAATACCTGAACTCTCAAACTGATCCCTAAACCCTAAACCCTAAACCCCCAAACCCCTAAACCCCTAAACCCTAAACCCCTAAACCCTGAACCCCTGGGGCCCCAAACCCAAAAAGCAGGGCCGGGGCCCCGGCTTGTGAGCTGGAGGATGAAGAGCATGAAGAGCCCGAGCCGGGGCTCTTGCTCGAGCTGGTTGGGGCCATCCTTCCCAAGAGTTCGGTTTAGGATTTGGGATTTGGGGTTTAGTAGGGTTTAGGATTTAGGGTTTAGGGTTTAGGAATTGGGATTTAGGGTTTAGGGTTTAGGATTTAGGGTTTAGGATTTAGGGTTTAAGAGTTTAGGGTTTAGGGTGCATTCTGGGTTCCTGGCTCGGGGCTCAACGTGGACTCTTGGAGAGGCTTTGGGTCTTAGGGTTCAGAGCCGAGCGTGAGTACTCCCGAACACTTTAACCTCAACTTCCCACATAGCACTGTAAACGTGTCATGTGTGAGTGTCGTGTGTGTATACATACTTACATACATACATACATACATACATACACCGACATACATACATACATACATACATGCATACATACATACACATGTGTGTGTGCATGTGCGCATATACATATGTACGTATGTGTGTTTTTGTATATATATATACAGAAGAAAAAACATACTCTTATATACATATATATATATATGTTTTTTTAATTCCCCCCCCCCCCACCCCGGCACCTCCAAAGCCCTCGGTATTTCTTGGATTTTTAAACAGTTCTTCAAATTAGATGATTTGTTCCCTAACACAAAGACTGTCATCAACATCCATATCATCACCGGCACTCCCCTAATTTAGGAATTTATAGAACTTCGGAAATACGGAAAATTTGCGAATTGCTTTGTTCTGGATTTTAGAGTGTTTTTGATGATTGCAGAAATGCTGCAATTCAGGGCAAGACATAAGGGAAACATCGCTTATTGACACGACGCCTGAACCCAGGCAGATTGTAGAACCTGAAGCAGATTCAACACCTGATCAACTCGGGCGTGGGCATTTGGGGGCAGAGGTGACCATATATATATATGTATATAATATATATATATATATATTTTTATTTATTTATATACACATATATGTTTTTTACACACACACACACACACACACTCGCGCGCGCGCGTATGTACATATGTATGCATGCATGTATGCATGTATGTACATGTATGTCCATATAAAAATGCATGCACATGTATGTGTTTATGTATGTATGCGAATGCATATATACACACACCATATGTGTGAAGCTCGATGTCATACAGTGCATTTGCTGCAGATCCGAACGAAATTATGTGCTTACAGTGCCGCTGTTGCAGCTGAAACACACACGCACACACACCATTCAAGTCAGGTACGTCGAGACCTGCGACCCTGAACCAAGTCGGTGAACACTGCGGGGGCCTTCTTCAACCGTGCTGCAGCTTTGCCGGAGCTGAGCCCATGCGCTGCATCGCTTTTCAGCAGGGCGCCTCGGAGGACGGTGGTGACTCACAAAAATGTAAAGTGTCTCAGGGTTTCGGCCTCCAGCCTTCCTGCAGATCCAAGGCAAAAACCGCACAAGAAGCCCAAGGAACCAGAGCGCGCAAGCAAGCGGCCGGCCAGAGATCCCCCCTAAACCCTAAACCCTAAACCCTAACCCCTAAACCCTAACCCCTATCCCAGAATCCCAAAAAGCGCTCCGAAACATCTTCTGGGGAGACTGCAAAGCTGCTCCGGCTGCATATCCTCCACCTTTCTGGCGGTAGCAGGCTTCAAAACCATGAGATGCCAAGCCCTCTTGGGGTTTAGGGCTTTAGCCTTGGATCCCAACCCTATGCCCTGCAACTCCAACTGACGGCATTCCTTCCCGAGCCAGTTCAGTTGCTGCGCTGACTTCGCGCGTGGTCAGCGGTTCTTTGTGAATTCTTGAAGGATAAGCGTTTAAGGTACTCGGCAGTAGTTTCACAGTTTGGTGTTTAGGGTCTAGGGCTGCCGTGTCAAGACTCAGAAGGAACTCAGCTCTCGAGTCTCGGTTTACCCTGTACCTGGAAATCAGAAGCACAGGATCTCTGACCAATAAGCATGAAGCTCTAGGGTAGGTTTAGAGTTTAGACGGATTAGCAAAGTCCAATGCAGCGATGAATCACCAGGCTTGCAGGCTTCAAAACTCGGTCCCTTACTTTCGGCACACCCTGAAAACCTAGACCCGTATGGAAGCCTAAGAAACCTGTGCAGCATGCTTGTAGAACCAGTATACAAAACACCACAAAACCCTATAAACTTATGATCATCACAAGTCCCCTGGCCTTCTGTCCATCAGGCAAGCCCATCGATGAGGAGACTTGTCGCACGAGCTCGCCGATCCCGCTGCGGCTGGACATCCGGGAAGAGAGCCCTGGGATCTGAGCAGAACCCACTGGATTAGGGTTTAGGGCTTCGGGTTTAGGGTTTAGGGTTTAGGGTCTAGGGTGCGGAGTCGACGTGCTTGGGGCTTCGGGGCTTTTGGGGTTGAGCTCTCTCGGGCTTGGGGCTTGGGGGTTCTGGGACTTTGGGATCGGGGGTTTGGGGTCCCGGGTTGAGTGTTCTTCAAGGCTTGAAGGTTGGTGGTTTAGGGTTGAGGGATGTTGGGAATTTAGGGTTTGATATTGTTTTTTTCAGAAGAAACCGGAACCTCGATCCTAGCTAGAGGTTACGGTTAGGGTTGAAGGAATCACGCATGGAGAAGCTTGGTTCTGAAATCAAAGCGGGACCACAAAAGAGCACAAAGCAAGTCGAGGTACACAAAACTTGTCATGGACACCGCCCAGTTTGTGCACTGTAGTGCAATGACAAAACCAGATGTCAGTCAGAGGTTTCGAACATTCTAGATAAGATACCATGTCTCGCAGCTAGTGTCGCGACTGGTTCATTCTCATTTACGTGTTTGCCCACTCGCCCAGTTACCTAGGCCGGCTAAACCTTCGGGGTGGTATTGGGATTAAAATACCACAAAAGCGCGAAAGGGTCCTTACGACAAAGACTCGCAGTACTGGCCCGAAGAATTTGCAGAAACACTGCTCTGAAATTTCTCCAAGCCCTTTAGCTCCGAGGCTTTTAAGGTTTCGGGTTTGGGGCTTGGGGTTTCGGATTCAGGGCTGGATGTGGTTTAGGTCCAATTTCAATCCTCGTCGTAACTCCCTACACTCCCAGACCTTCTACGCGTACCCCGTGTACACACGAAACCACAAAGCAGAAACCCGACTCCCAGACGCCTCGCTCTTGAAGCTCCTCTACATTGCGGCTCAAGTCCTGCAGGAAGAAGAAGTGACATCCGCATGCAAGAACATTGAAGCAGGGGCGTTTCGAGATCTGGGATTTGGATTAATTTGGATTACGGAATTAACCCATTGGTTCATCTGCGGTACCCGCGTGTGGCTACTCGGCGCTGAATCAGGAAACAAGCCGGTCGTTTGCAACCGATCGGGACGGTGCACAATGTAGAGTCAAATCGAATGCGTTCAAACAGACAGAAAGCTGGCAAAGGCCGTAAAAAAAAAGATGCAACGTCATGATACCATGCTCTGACGTCCTGGTGGTGCTGATTCGACAAGTCATGCGGGAACAGATGATCCGGTCGCAACATCCTTGTTTGTCACGGTGGATTATTTCCGTCTGTCCCTTGAAATGATAATACGCTGCGGAAAGACCCAAAAACGGCATGAGGTTAGTGGTCTCCTGCAAGCAATTCCCATTCAAATAATGCGGCCCTGAAGTAGAATGGACAACGGAATCCATCTTTCTAGTCAAAACAACTTCGCCCGCGCCCATCCAAAAACCTTGTGTGCTTGGGCTTGGACAAATGTCTTTCAACACGATTAGATACGACTGCTTACTGTTAAAAAAGCATTTTTTAATCAGCGGGTATGACAAAAGAAACATCAGGTTTCATGGGTAGACAAAAGCACCACTGCCGTGCTGAAGCATGTGCGGAGAAGTGGCGAAAGCCGCATGTGGTAGCAGAATTACGGTCATAAACTGTGTTCATTGCAAAGCGAACTGGTGAACCATAAGATTCAAGCATGTTATTGCCTTGTTTTCGCTGTAAAATGAACAAGATGATTTTAACACGATCTGGACGGGAGGTGACAGGGTGTGTCATAAGAAGTGTTGTGAATCGTCACTTAAAGTTGCCACCTTTCCCATTTTGGAATGACTTAAAACTTGTCTGGGACATGACACATCCGCATCGCCAGGCGATAGGGCGGGAGCTGGCACTGCGCAACTACAGCATCCACGCGCTCCTGCACATAATCATAAAGCTTTCTTTTTCGTGAATGGCCTCAATGGCAGCACGGCTGCTCTCGGTCCGAATGTCAATGCGCAAACGAAACAAACGAATGTTTCACTGTACTATGGGTTTATGGTTCCCATGCTTCCACTTTCTCTNNGTCCCGCGCCCAGTGCAAGATTAGGGCGCACAGACACACACAGCCAACTTACAAGAACACTGAAAAGATTGGAACAAAAGACAAAACACACACCAAAACAATCCAAAATTTGGACTTGTGCTGGGTGGACAGGTAGATCGTGTTGGGTTGATGATTCTTTTCACACAGAAAAAAGTCAATACGGCGAGTTTGTTGGTCGTACCACCTTGGTATAAGACGATCTACGGACGCTACTGCAACTTGGATGAAAACCTCTTGCAGCAAGGAGTTCCAACGTAAAAGAAGACTATTCGCAAGATCTTGGCCGACGCAAACCCAAACACGAACTCTGGACTCCTTTAGAAAGAAGGAAAAAAAACACAGCAAGAAATGTCTAGATGTAGGTGTGAAAAACTTCTGTCTTAGGAAACCTTGCAGGAAACGGGCTTCCACTAGACCTTTCACAGTCACAGCTAACTGAAAAAAAAAAAAAAACCTCTAAACTTGTCGATTCTGCTTCCATCAATCTGAAACTTTCTATGCTCTGGTTTTTGGCAGCTACCAATCATAGATTGACCTGTTTGCATATTCCATACTGGTTTGTTGGTGCAACAGTTCTGGAATGGATAAGAAGTCGGGATCTGACCATTAGCCACCGCGCAATTTCTTCAGGGTGCAAGACTTTCCTGTTTAGAGTTTTGGATTTAGAAGTCGGAGGTTGGACTTTGGCTTTTGGAGGCATTGGAGAAGTTTAGATTTTTCAATTTTGGTGCACTTCGAAACAAAAGCTGTTTCCAATTCTCTGTGGCCGTATCAGTCTGGGTTTCTTCTAAAGGGAGTTTTCTGGCAGGCGCTAAGAGGTTCCGTCCAAGCTTGGCGGATTGGCATTCGCCCAGTTAAAGTTCTTCGCAGGCATAAAGTCGCAGAAATCATTCTACGGACAGTTGCGTGCTCTTCACCAGATTGAAGAAAATGCTGGCATTGAAGTCAACTCCGATTGTTGCATGCATCCATAGTGTGTGAAGCATTGTCAGTGGCTGCTCAACCGGTTTCTTGTCCAGGTGGGACAGAAACTATGCTGGAGAATTGGATTGCTTTGGAGAATTTGTGCAAGCCAAGACCATTGGATCTGAGTTCGTGATTACACCCGACCGTCCAACCTTTTGATCAAACTTCCTTGTCTAATGCGCAGCCGATGAACCGCAGAGACTGATCCTCCAACATTGCTGACTGATCATCTCAAGTTTTCTGCTGTTTTCTTGGGCGGTCGTCTGATAACACACATATGCACATATGTGGTACTGTTAGTCAACTGAGTTTTGTGCATTTTCTCCAACTCATTACTTCACCACATGGGTTAGAAACAACTCAAACTTGGCGCATTTTTCACCTTTGAACAAGGTTTCTGACTGGCCATTTGCAAACGTTCATGATTCTTTGATAAAGGTGGGCGTCCGAGCCAGCTTCTTGTTTTCCCTTGAGGAATTACGGTGCTGCAAGCACCTCTTGGCTGATTTGGAGTTGTTTTCACTTTGAAGAAACGAGCTCCAGAAGAAACCCGCGCCGCGGTTTCTTGCTTCCCTAAAAACTTCAAAAAAGAGTCCTCGTTCTTGCGACTTTGTGATTATTTGCACTTTCAGGCTCGAAGTTTAGGTTCTGAGCCTTAGAGTTCAGGGTTCCAAGTTCAGGGTGTAGTTCAGAGTTAAAGGTTCACAGTTTACGCCCACGGTTTTGGGTTTTGCTTTGGGGTCTTATTGGGGTCCAGGATTTAGGTTTCGGGTTCAGAAGTATTGGTGCAGGTCTAAGGTTTGAGGGTTCTGTTTTGGACGGGGAGGTTGGAGCCTAAGCCGTACGTCTGAATCTTATGTTGTACTCGTACTTGTATCGTACCACATCCGACGATACCGTTGCATGGTTCAAGCAGAAAGCACTGCGATTTGTGCTATCCTGTACTATCTAAAGCTTATCAGCCGTCGCCTGTTCGAGCCATACCCAGGCTGCTCCATCAAATGCAGGTCAACCGGAATGGCGGAGCACCCCGTACCAGTGGACACTGACATCTCACTGAGGACGGAACAGAAGAAGTAGCTCCAGATCCAAAGCATAAAATCCCTGGATCTAGGTGGCACGCCACCGTGTGCTGCAACGACTAGCGGCCTGATGGACGAGCTGTGCACACGCATGGTAGTCTCGACTTCCAACTCAATGATTCCAAAGTCTTTGCATGCCTCACCACCCACGAAGCAACTACTTAGGGTTTAGGGTTTAGGTGTGAACGTCTGAACCTCCAGAAGCTCTAATGCCAAGGGCAGCGGCCGCAGCCAGCGTAACTCGCGCCGAAGTCTGGCACAGCTCGTGCTCAAATTGCACGCAACGCAAAAAAGGCGCGTATTTGTGCCCTTTGGCTTTACCAGCACTCGTATTATGTTTGTGCATTCCTTCAGAAGGTGTGGGTGGTATAGGATATGTTTGTACAGGGGCAGTGCAACAGTTGGTGATTCGGCTTCTGGAAGGATATGGACCTTCATGAAGAGGATGCTTGGACACTTGAGTCTGGCGCGGACTTGTCGCAAGGACGAAGAAGAGAAGAGCCACATACCCCCGGCCCCATGTCCGTCGCGAGTGCAAGCATTTGCTGTCGACTTGTACTACCTGTTACTACTTAACTCTCAGGGCCGTAGGGCTTTGCATTGAAGTTCAAATCGCAGTTTCAGCATAGAGTTGACTCATTTAATTAGGATTTTGCAGCCCAAGCCTTGCATTCCTGGATTGCAGACCACGAATTTCCTAGCTCTGAGTCCGCTCGCCCAGAGAAAGATGTATTGACCAACCCGCCTGCCTGCCTGCCTGCCTGCCTACCATACCTGCCGGATTCGGAAGGCATTACGAGCGCTGTACTTGCCGGTCTTTACTGTTGTGTTGCCTGCCGAAGTCTTGGCTCCAGGCCACCTGTGCACGGCCGCCCACAAATTTTG